AAAAGAAACTCATAGAAATACACCATAAACCGAAATTTGCTGATGTTAAATCGCCAGGTACAAAAAATAGAATAAAAATATTTACAATTCGAGGGAAACAGACAAAAAATCGTCCGCGAAGTCATAACTTTGCGTGAAAACTGTCATGGCGTCGTGTTATCAGTTTCGCTGAGGGAGGGGCACAATGGATTACGTAAAGCCGATGAGATATTCATACAGTTATATAAACATCGCCATTGGGTGGGTTGAGTCTGAATTCACCTTCCCTCAAAAAAATACTTTGTAAATACTAAATAATAACTTTATTGATTTCGTATCCTTATTGGGATCTTGAAAATAATACAATAAAGAATGTTGTTTAAATAAACAACAGCTAGCTAAAAAAGTATAAGTATGAGGATAAGTTATGTTCAGTGAACAGTTTAATCCTCTCCTCTTGGTGTAGTTTGCATTTTAGCAGAAAGTGTTTCTCGTCTTCGACTTCACAGACTTTGCATTTTCCATGATCAATGTCAATATTTTTGTACCGCCCCATTTCTATCTGCAAGGTGTGGGCACTTATACGTAGTTTTGTTAGGGCTGAGCGATGGTTGGGATTTTTAACTACTGTTAGATATTTTTCATAGGTGTAATCCTTTTTCAGTAATCTGTAGGTTTCAAGTTTGTTTTTTTGATTTTTAGATTTATTGTCATCATACATGCTGTTTTCAGCGACTGTTTTAAAACGTTTAATGAGTCTATCTAAAATTGGATGAAGTAGACTGTAATTGCTGTTATGTTTACATTGTGTCCATGCGTCACCAAGGTCTAGAAAGTTTAGTCTGGTTTTTATTCCTGTTACCCAATTTTGTACGCCTGCGTCATCTAGCTGAATGCCCAGCTCAGGACTAATGTATTATGATCCATGTCGTTTAATCGCATCCAATATTTCAGCATTTGCCTTATACTTGAGATGACAAGTGGAAGCCTACCAAGCTCAAGCAAGCATGCTAAATTTGTTGCGTTGCTGTAATGAACCATGTGAAGTTAGACGACCAGGTTGAAATGGGCCGTAATATTTTGCTACACAACGGCTATTCGCAGTTTTTACTACTCAATCACCCAAACGCCGGTGAAACAAATTCGAAATGAAGTCACAGTGGAAGAGTTAATTGTTAATCGGGGCAGTTTTCATACAACTACAGACGAGACGGGTCGATAGAAATTAAACGAACTCTGACCTCGGGAAATACCTCATTCATAGAGTGCCTTAGTACCAGATGTCGCCGATCACGGTCATACAACGTACCTTATCGCTACCGGTGCATGCTGGCTGACAAGGGGGTTTCCGATTAAGGTAACCAAGATGGCGTCGCAGAGTGCATGATTTTTCCGCGTCTCGTTGCCAATTTTTCTGTAATTTCCAGGGTATTTTTTTTTTTATTTTTAATTAACCGAGCATTTTACGTTTGTGTATTTTGACACTGAAAAGTTAGTTATCGATGACAGCAACAGCAGTGTTGTTTGTCAATTGCATCACAATTCCATCAGCACGGTAATCATTACATCGAAACGAAAAATAAGTGTTAAAATGCCGTTTGAGTAAAACTGTGTGGAAATTTTTTTTTGTTTCTCCCACAATGTGAAAAAGCTTGAAATCTATGCACTAAAAAAACAAAAAGAAATGGTGGTCTTGTTTTGCACGAAAATCAAATTGCCCTATCGAGGCTTCCTCCTACATGAAAATAAATAAAAAATCAAATTATTTAAGGGTGAAAAGTTTACTTATCATTTACAACTGTATGTTTTGTTTCATTACGCTTGCAAGCTGGAAGCGTATACGTCTTTTTTCTTTTCTTTTTTATAGTTTGCTAGTTGATCGAGCTTGAGGTAAGTAAACAGAGAGCCAGGATAGGAAGTCGCACACCGCTGCTCCGTAACTGATGCCAGCAATCATTTGCATATAACATCAACAGTGACTTGTCAATCAAAGAGCAACGCAAACAAACTTTCGGGACTTTTAATCACATAAGCGTACCTCGGTTCGATTTTTGAGTATGTTCTAACATTGACAATGCTCCGAAAATTTAACACTATCTAGCCAAGACTGTCTGGGTAAGAAAAAGCAAAAAAAAAAAAAAAAAAAAACTCACTCTGAGTGCCCACGAATCTGCATCTCTAACTTAAGGTAGATTTAATTTAGCTGATTTTACTCAACAGTGAAATTAAAACCCAGTGAATAATTGATGCATTTACAGTAGTTATATATTTCAGTACGTAGATACTAGGTCACCATATTGTGTACCAGTAGTAAAACATAATACAGGATTTGGTGACGTCATATATAACACTGCTTAGTGTTTCTATTTATTTCATTAAAGGGCAGTGGTCGTTGCGCCACACATGGTCAAGATATGGGTCTCTTACAAACAAAGATGGCGATTTTGACCAACCAAGTACGAATCAAGACGTTACCAAGCTTTAACTAGGTAATTGATTGGTGGTTTGAAGGTAACGATGGAGTCGTAAGCTGTAATTAGTGCAATTTCATTAAAAAAAAGTGCATTGAATTGTGGAAAATCAAAGTTTATCAATACAAACATCTTACATGCTTGGCTTGACGACCAATGCCCTTCATAATAATTGTATGACTTATAGTGCAGATAAATGAAATTGTTCATTTCATCAAATACATGTTGTTTTATTGCATTTTCTCTTGTTTTAATGGGCACAGTGGGCACTCACATAATTCGTCAACATCACCTTTTGGAATTTGTTATTTTTAACTATGGCAAAGAAGATCTTGCCTATTAAAAATGGGATATATTCAGTAAAATAAAGCAAATATTGACAGTATAATAGAGTATAAATTAAGATTAATCATACTTTATGTTATACTATGCAAATATTATTCATCTATAAATGCAATTTTAATCTTTGTGACCAGATGTACCGGGTAATATTACAATTCAATTAAACAATCAATTACTCTTATAGTACCATATATTAATGACGATCTAACTTACCTTTCAAACAAGTATTTAGTGTTATACTGTGAAATACTTAGATTGGCGTAGTATCCAAGGGAATCACGGTTATATTTTATCAACTCTAGTGTTTCACAGGAAAGATTTTTAGGTTTCTCGCATAAAAATACCGATTCTCCCAAGTTACTGTTACTGAACTCACACTTGTTCTCCCATATAATTTTACTGGAGATATAACATGATGTGATCTCTTTCGATGTGTCATCTTTGAATGTACCGAACCAATTTATACACTGTTCTTGAGGGAGATAGAATGTCTTCAGCCAAGTAACAGCTTCGCGTGTATGCACCAACGTTATGTCAATCATTGCCTCTCCCTTCCAAGCTTCATAAAAGTACACACTGTATGTCCCATTCTGGTAATCAATAATTCTACCTGCTGTACTTGCTTTGGCTTGATTGAACATCACGGCAAAAAAGAAATCACCTCCAACTTGTCGTTTGATTCCCTTTGAATCATATGCTTCAATAACAACATGGACAACTTCATCCGCATTGCTGACCAACCAAAATCTGTTGACAAAAAGTCATTTACTGAGAGTATGTTATCTAAAAATAACTCATGTACATGAATTGAAAGACTTATGTTCAGTATAATTGAATTATTAGTCAGTATAGTTGTGCGATCCAGTACTTTTATTTTGGTGAAATAATTATTGAAGTACCGGTATAATGAAAGAACAGAAGATTATAATATACCAGTGCATCAGCATCATGGACACATTATTGTGATTGGATGAGACCATGTTTTAATCTATAAAATAATGCACTAGTACGCAGTGTAGTCTATGGGTTATTGTTCAAAGTCAGGCCCTAGAATATGAGTAACAAATATTGATACCAAAAACCAATCAAAGCGTAGAAAGAAGTACTGTGTGCTGAAAATAGTGAAGGACTATGAAGTAGAAATACTTGGTAGGTAATTTAAAATTAATTCAAAATTTAAGATTAGTCTTTCAAAAAAAGAGCAATGTAGACAACACATATAGGTTTGCTATTTGAGATGCATAACTTGAAATAATATGATTTCCAAAATTATTAAAGTTTATAATAGGCATAGGAAACAATTGTGATTGAACATTTTTTGATTTGCAGTCTGATTTATTCCAGTTTCAGTTCAATTTAAATCTGATATTTTCGGATATTAGAAAATAACTAATGAAAATTAGGTTTTTAACATTCAACTGATCATGTCCTTGGATTACCCAAGAGCATCTATGTACTAACATTTATTGAAATGAGGTAACTTGTATGCTTGAATTTCAATCCAAAACTAATCAGGTCTTAGCATGAGCTGTCAATCATTCTCTGTTCAGTACCAGTGGAAAACCATGTAATGTCGCGTGAGGGCGTTTGTATACAACTGTTAACAGTCCTCAGCCCCCCCCCCCGGCCTTCGCTGAAATGCGATTTAGTATACGAAAAAATTAAGAATGAGGACTGTCAACAGTCTATAGATGACAGAAGTACTGTAGGGATAAAAATATCATACCTAGATTTCCTAGGTGAAGTCATTCCCATAGATGTGAGTTTGCCTTTAGAAAAATATTGCATTTGATCCTCCTTATTATGCATATTAAATGCATCTGAAAGAACGTCATCCAACATACGACCAATCGATGATTGCACTTCCAATCCATTATCATGTTTGCATGTTTTATATTTGACTGTCACTTTCATATCCGTTTCACTGATTTTATAAACCTACAAAAGTACATTAAACTCTTATTCAATATTCAATGCAAATACGGTAGCATCACACATGTATCAACAATTAACTCACACAGTACACTACAGGCAGTCCAAATAAACACCATCTGGCGGATACCAGTCCGAATATGTCACTAAATACACAAGCAGCCTCTCGGCTGAGATAGCTCCGCTGTTAGCAAGGCACATTTCAATTACTAGTAGAGAATTGAAGATATCATCACAAAATGAACAAATCTAAGATTGGTTCACATGAGGTACCTATATGTATAATATTAGAGCCATTAAACTTGCAGTTTTCAATAAGAAGTCAAAAATGTCACTTTTTACCAAAAATGACAAAAATATTCATCAAAGTTAGATAATTGAATATATCATCATGAAATGAACAAATCTGAGATAGGTCCACTTGTAATGCATATACGCATAATATCAAAGTAATTGACCTTGCGGTTTTAAACAAGAAGTCAAACATATCACTTTTTTACCAAAATGGCAAAAATACCTAAATTAGAGAATTGAATATATCATTATGAAATGAGCGAATCTGAGAGAATTCCACCTGTAGTACCTATATGTATAATATCAAAGTAATCGGCCTATCGGTTTTCAACAAAAAGTCCAAAGTATCACTTTTTACCAAAAATGACAAAAATATTCATCTAGATTAGAGAATTAAAGATATTTACATGAAATGAACAAATTTAAGTGAGATCTTATACATGACATACACCTAGTATCAAAACATTTATTTAGGCTTGTAGTTTTCAAGAAGAAGTCAAAAAAATAAAAAGTTGATGTGGACGACAGACCACGACTAACAATCACTCATATTATAAGCTCTGCTTGACAAAGTTGACAGCAGAGCTAAAAAATGAGAGCTGAACCCCACGGTCATGAATCCTTTCCAAAGAAAAATGTTGTTTAACCCTTTGAAGTGCCATCAGATATATCCTATCCATAATGCAGTGCAATTTTTTTCATATTTTGTAAAATGTCACTAAATTTCATCATCATTTTGGAACATATGAACAGTTTCTGTAATTCCTTTTAGTTTTTGAACAAAAGGTTTGTCAATTTATCTCAACATTTTATATGAGAAGAAGTAGACTACAAAATCATTTTGTAGGTGGTCCCAAAAGTTGACAATGGTGCTCAAACAAATAATTTGAAATGGAATCAAATACTTACCACAATATTGATAGCAACAGCCACAATTATGAAACCCAGAACTACCAAATATGCAGGTTTGCATGCAAATAGTATACCCCTGGATGCCTGAGTAAATACAAAATGTTTGGTGCAGTAAAAAAAAAGTCATAACAATAAAAGTTGTCAATGGGAACACCGTCAATAATGACAAATTATAAGACTGCATACATAGTGAGCCATGTTGAATATGGCAGTAGTAATTAAATACTCAGTTGTACGTCCTTGTGTTCATACATGTAGTTCTTGGCTTATTTTCATTATAATAATGAACGCAAATTTATAGCCCACTAGATTTCAACAATTCGGTCCCCATGGTGGTTGAATTTAATTATTGACGATTTAAAAAAAATATGCAGGTCGTCATTCAGTGACCAAACAAAATCTGGCTGACAACAAAGCTTCCTGTATTGTCAGCTCTTGGTGGCGCTTTTCTACCCACAATTCAAAACTTTGAAAATGTTATTATTTGTCATATTTAATTTTTGTCAATAATTGTTATAAAACAGCAATCGACGATCGCTTCATATCAGATCCACAAAGTTTGCAACCTAATGATGTAACTGAAAGCGAACGCATTTGTTTTATTTATACTCCGTTTTATAACAACACTAACTACCAATATATACTGTGTGGTCACGCTACTCATTTATTAACCAATAGTTACAAATAAAAGTATCACTGTTATACATATAAACAAAGCACTACATCTTGAAAAAAGAAATACCATTTATAGAAACAAATTTCCTTGCAGTAAAAAAACTATTTATGTGGCTTAAAAAAAACTCTGGAAAAGTGTTAGGCCATTTTTCATTTTAGAGGTACAGTTGCTAAAACCATGCCGGCTGTTCATAACAAGATTAAACAACAAAAATGTTGATGTTGTTTGCCCAGTAGTAGCTCGTAGACTGATTCCTCCAGCCTGTTATAGCGCCCTCTAGTGACAAAAACAATAATTACTCCCTATACCATGTACCGTGAAAAATGACATTGTTAGGGAATTAGACGATAATATTACAGGGGACATTGTTTCTGATGTTGAAAAGGCTGGGAAGTCAGAGTCTGTTGCCAAATTTGATCCAAGACGACCATGGAATGTTGATCCAAATAGCAGTCAGAGTGGGAGAAAATTTAAACTGCATTGGTCAAAGTAATTTTCATGAGTAAAATACAACAAGGACGAAAAACGTATGTTTCATATATACTGTAGCACACATCCTAATAAAGATGAGAGTACATAATTGAATTGGCATGATGTCACATGATTACTGTCTTTTACGTCATGTATGCTCAAATAACTATCTTAAAAAAACACAAATTTCTTATTCTGTGTAGTTAATTAGGTATTTGTAAAAAAAAAAAATCTGGAGACCAACAGTTTTGTACTTGGCTGCAAATTTTTTTATAACTTGAAGTTGGGTGCCAATCGCTGCTTAGAAAAAAATGTAACTATGAGGGCTGAATATATATATATATATATATATATATATATATATATGTATGCTTTTCTGACTTGCAATGTTTAACAGGTGGATATGCAAACTATTATAGATATAGGTTTGTACCAGATGGTAACAGCAACAATCATCAAAAAGGGTAAGATTCAAGTGTCCCTGACAACCACGCTAATGCCCATGGCAACAACCCAAAAAACATAGTTGAATTCTGGTAATCTTGCCCTTTGTTATATAATAGTATTCCTGTTATCATAGTTTATTTCAGATCATAAAAAATTCATAACAAAAAAAAAATACAAGTCAAAAAATCCTTTTCTCCCATAATTTCCATATTAAACTCTGGGAATGAATTGAAATGTACAATGTTGTTGTTACAATGGGGTTAGATGAAAGGTGCAGTCTACTCATAAAGCTAAATGTCTTTTTCGGAAGAATTTCATCAAAAGATCTAATATAGAGCTTAACAAACCCTGCCCTATTACTCTGTACAACAGAATGTGAATACCCAGATAATTTACGAAACTCATGTGAGTGTGCTCTCTTAATAGAGATAAAAATATGCAGTTGGAATGTTCAATTGTTGTATGTGTTCAATAAAGCAAATCATTTGAGAAGAATATAAACATAATTCCACTATACTGATTATTAAAAAAAAAACATTTTGACACGTTATACTTAAAACCTTATACTTGAAATATTCAGTTTGTCCTTGAGTGTGTCTCTGGCAACCACTGACATGAGTGTACGCCACATTTTGTTCACATCTCATTTACATACTAAACAACATATAATTAATCAGCTCAGTTGCGTCACTCCCACCTTCACTCTAGTTAGGTGGTATCATCGGGAAAAAATTCCAAGCCCACCGTTGCCATGGTAACAGCCCAAAATGATTTTTTGAATACTTTTGCGCAGAATGTATCACTTTCTACCAATCTTATAATAGCACTTTTCAAATAATCATGCTTTTTATTTGGGGTTAGTTGCGCATCAAAGCCGACCACCAGCGCCGACTTTGTTACACTGTATCAACGTAAATGCTGTGTTCTATCAAAGAATCTAGAAAATACAATCGCAAAACGATCGGATCGAAATAAAACGTTTGTCATCGAAATCTAGGTTAAAGATCAATTTGCGTGAATATAATAATGATGACATCACTAGTAATAAAGTGAAGTGACCTCTCAAGAATGAATGCTCTTTGCGTATATGGGGGCGGATTTAGTTTTCTTTTTTTTTTGATGTCTGATTGCCCTAAATGCTCCACGACCTTTTCGCCACCGATTCCCGCTTTTCATCACAAACTAGTCCCGTTTATAGTCTGCCCTTTCTTTCAGTGAATTGGAACAAAAATATCCAATTAATTTTAGTAGAAACTGAAAATTGACTCAAATTTTATCTGTTGGCTCCAAAGTCAGGCTTCATTTCCAGAAACATTGAAGAATATATAAGAAAAATGTGCAGAACAATTTGGGCAAGATTGCCTGGTGGTGAAAAGCTTAAAACTACTTTCACATCCAAACGATAAGATTTGATTGCTCCCAAAGCAACGTGGATTGCCTAACTAGACGCCTTTTCCCCATTCGACAACGAGTTCGTGCTTCTGATAGAAATTAAATTAAAAGAGACAACATCCATGTATTACCGTATACAATGTATTGATTCCGTTTAAATTTATAAATATTCCTGTTTATACATAATGTATAACATACATAACTGTTTTTGGCTTCAGTGTATTACAATGGCGATCCACCTTTTGATAAAACATTTCATTTGTTATTACTGTCTTCAAGAAAATTGAGGTTTTCGAAATGGCTGCCAAAACCACTCACCACAATCCTACCCAAGCATTATAATGCGGGATTTATTTACTCAGTGTCCGGGAAACTTCAAAATGCAATACCATAGTGAAAAAATCGTGCAATCCAAACGTCTAGTATCGTGGAGAACATGATTGTTGGTGTGTTACGTAGTGGATCTAAAAATATGCTGTTTTCAGGGGTTAAAGGTTAATATTTCGAGGGTTCAATAATCTTATTTATTGTATGTATTGTTTTATAATTTAATATTGTATTTATAATTTTCTAATTAACTTCTCAAATGACGTAATACAGTATTACGTAATGTGATTATCATTCCAACAAAAAGCAAAGAAAAGATGCACTGGCGATTTTTTTTATTTATAACTGCCGTTAAAGTCTTTGAACCCACTAAAGTTCCCTATAATTTAAAAGGTTTAGTAGGCGCTTCTTCTAGTAAGTGTGTACCGTGTGGCTGCGTGCCTTTTTAAAGTGAACATGTGTCCTGTGTATCATCGGTTGGCATACACACTAAAATACAAGCTAAATACGACAGTTGAGTAACAAAACATCATTATAGTCTACACACAGTATCCAACTTTTACGCGCTGCACAATGTCTATAGTTACTATAATACCTCATTTCTTTTTTTAGTGGGAAAGGTGTTATTAAGAAGCTTACTGTTGTTTACGTTGCAATGTGGAGTTATGATTATGTCAATAAAAACATAAACACATTTGTTGATGATTTATTGTAAACGACAATAACGATCAAATTGTAAATGTAAAAGTATGCAGAAATAATGTAGAAAAAGTATGCAGTGAAAATACAAAAAAGATAGACCATATTATACTTTCATGTTGAATTTTCTTCTTTGACCATTCACAAAGAAAAAAGGTAAAAGAATAGAATCATTGCAAAAGTGCCGTCTAGTATATAAGTAAACGAATTACCATAGTTGACGGGACACTGCATTTTTTTACCATATAATTATCAATAAAAGTATCAATATTAAGGAGTTGTCTAATATCGGATAATTACATTTTGTCTTGACTACTAGAGGTATTAAATTATTCCAACTTCTGATAATTAAGGATATTAAGATTCTACGTCTCTATCGGAGAGTTACTGATCTAAGAACAGAAGAACTTCAAAACGAACAATCGTTATTATCGATCTAACTACGATTTTTACACAGAATTATTGAAATTATCCGATATTACAGGAGAATTACTGTCTCAAGAAACGTTGGACCAAATAGTAGCCATCCCATCGATCTAAATAACGATGTAATCACGATTTTAGATAAAATGAAATTTTAATGAGAATTAATGTTTGTATATTTGACGTAACTAACAGAAAATGGAAGAATGCAATGTCGCGCCTTCCACGCATTCTAATATGACGAATTTCGTACAGTTACATTAATCAATATATTGTTGGAATAAATGCGAGTTAGACTTTTACCACACAGGAAAGGAACACAATGTTTATCTGTGTTGCAGTCTTTATATGATGATGTGTATTTACTCATATATATATTATAAAACCTTTAAAACATTGTAGGTCTCATGCCACTAATCAACCAATGATTTGAATTTAATTTAATCAGGGATGTGTAATATGAGTATTTTATATCTATATCATAAAATTGTTTCTTTGAACTACTTTTCACATAGGATGTGATTAAGCTTTTTATGTTGAGCAAATTCCATGTGTGGCCATGGTAAATCAAACCACTGTTGTGTTTTGGTATATCCAAGGTTGCCCGTCACAGGTCTCCGACCTAAATGCAGATACCGTGGAATTGTTTTTAATTAATTGGAGAAATAATGAGCTGATGAATTGAGACTTTTCATTCAGTAAAATTTTGTTTTATATAATTATAGTGATAAACTACCTTAAATTGTCATAATTCTATGTATTATTTTTAGAAATTAATTAAAATTACTAATCATGCCAAATGTTGGTCTGTACTTGTATGTGGAGAATGAGAACATTATACTTACAGTACTGCATCTAATAATCAGGCTTATATTGACTGCCTACCATCCAATTTGGTGTTATGCTGGGTGTGTATGTTGCCAATTCCTACAACTAATTGTCTGGGTATAGGGCGCCACCAAGTGGTAGATTTTGATAAATAACTTCCAGGGTTCAAATTTTGGGATTATTTTTTGTTTGCATGGGAAATCACTCGACTAATGATATTCCATCATATATAAGATCAACAGAAACTGTATTAAACCTTCTTATTTCGCTTAAGGTATCATGCCACTAATCAGCCAATGGCTGCTCGTAGCAAGAACCAATGACATTTTTTAAATATTTTTTTCCTCAGGTGCTCCCTGTTTGAGGGCGTGATCACTCGGGTCAAAGGTGAGACCAACACGTGGTCTTTTATTTACTACTTGGCGACTGTGTACCTGTGAGTTTATTCTGTGTGTATTTGAATGTTCTAATCTTGGTGTTTTTCCAGTGATTTCTCTAGGTGCAATCCAAATACAGTAGGTGTGTCTTGTTTACCTGAGATTTGCAAGAGTTTTCATATGGCAATCTCGTCATATGTTAACATTGTCGTCTATGGAAATTAAATTAGTGGTATGAGCCCTGTAGCATTTTCGGACTATTTTAAGATTAATGACCAACACCTGTATTTGATACCAAACATGTGCAGCTAGGTGCAGAATTAAAACACCTATAGTTTTAAAACTCTTGTGAGTTTGAGGGTAAAATACTGAAAAAAAATATTTTTCAACCGAAACGTACATTTTTGACAGTCAAATTTTAAACAACTTTTGAAAGTTTGTAGTTTCTGATGGCTAGTGAAAAAGGTGAAGCTCTATATCCATACAGTGAATACTACATATAGCAAAAAAAAAGGTATATGGAATGCACTTTGTCCTATGTTGCTCCATGTTTACCGTGGAATGTCTGGGTCATATGCTTTCTGCAGAATCTCGTAATGAACAAATTAGTGCATGATGTATTTCTGATTTGCCAGTTAAAAAAAAACTGGTTTTACTGAATGAATGGCGTTTGAAACACTTGGCCATTAAAGATTCATTTCACACCAAAGATAGCTTTACTGGATAATGAATTACTGACGCCGAGATTTGTGGACGATGTAATAGCAGATTTTATTCACAATTACAGCACCAGACCATGACTACTATGGTTTACACAATATCGATTAAATCACTTCTAATGCAATTTCTTTTTATTTTTATGTGGGTTTAATATTTCTTCTTCATCAGAAAAAAAACACGTTAGGACTTCTTTTCTGGGGTAATAGATTTGCCAGCAGATGAGATGTTATATGTTCATTTTGTGTTTACATGACTTTGTTCCCTTTAGAAAGCATTTCTAAATTCGATTTCAGTAGCCTGTTTGACAATAGTTATCATGAACTGTATACAACCCCCAATTCCTTATGTTTTTAGGGGGTCAGTGGGAGGTTCTCTGTAGATCATACACAGTAGGGATACACAATTAAAGGCCACAATTAAAGCGAGAGGGTCGTCACCTGCGCACGTGCGGGAATTGAGTCCCAAGCGACGATAACAACACACGCTAAAAACGCAAAGGCTCGTGGGTAGACGCTTGTTTGTAAACAACGACGCGCTATGGCCATCCAATTGCTTACCTGGGGTGGATTTCTTGTGGCAGTCATTTTCATAAGCGTCAAATATCGTCATAAATGTCATCAAGCTGCAAAAATAAAAATCGAAGACTGAGTTAGTATAAATCTACCCAAGCGCAATAAAGAAAGTGCATTGACGATGATAAATATGAGTATGGAAATATTACATATGTACCGGTTGCTGTAATAATAACAGAACCCCACACCCTCCCCGTGGCTTTCGTTGCGTCGCTTCGCTCGTGAAAGTACGGCCGCAGGATACCCGAATCACTCGTGAAAATAACTTCCATACGCAACGAAAGCCACGGGGAGGGTGTGGGGTTCTGTCATAATATTTACATACAGTGATTATTAATTTTTCCAAATATTTTGATGACCTTTTTTTTCTCTAGAATAAAAGGTCAAATGTACACGATTTTCAATTTGCTCCAGGTATTCATCATTCTTGTTAAAGTATGTACAAATATGTACGTTTATTTGTCGAAAGGTGTCAAACTCATTTACAGAATTTAGAAATTAAAAGAAATATCTGAAACACTGAAAGGAACTAATGCACCTAAATATCTTTAAAATCTGGACAGCAGCAGTATATACCAACAATATAGTGCTGTGAACAGGATTGCAACATCCGAGTCTAGTCACTAGAATTTATTAAAAATACTCTGGGTGCAGTCGTATATATATTTTTGTTTCGGTGTCACGGAACAGGAGATGATAAATTTAGAGCAATTATGGAAAAAAAAATATAACATTAAAAAAAAACATCCATTTTATTGAGAGGAAAAAACTACTGGTATAGCAACATTATTCTTGAAACAAATTGAACACAAATTAAATTTGCAATTAGTCTACCATCTCCAACACAGACTTTTAGATTATTAAACTTGAAACAAGTTTGAGAGTCCATGTGCTGGACATTTTACAATTATTACAATTGGAATACATTTGATGCAAAATATTTTTTTTAAAAAGCTGAGATAGAATGAACAACTACTGAGACTACTAGACATTATACACGTATAGTTCCAACTTTGATTTATTAGTTAATGTAAGGTCAAGACCCACATGACGTCACATTTTAATGTTACCCATTGCAACTATCGTTGCATGATCAGATCCTTATCTAATTATGCAGTACAAACTAAATCAAAGAGAGAAGTTGGTTATTCAACAAATATATTCATCTTAAAGTTAAATAAAAGAATGTTTGTGAGTCTTGGTTCAATGTACTATTTACTTCAAGAAATTCGCAATCAACAACCATTAAGGTTATACCAACATTCATTCAAGTGAAAAGACTGTAAACTTCACCAAAGTTATAGATGCACTTTAAGTATCAGAAGAATTCACACTTACCTTTCAATTGCTCAGAACTGCATGGGACAAGCCTGGAAGGCAAGAACAAATCTATATCTGGTGTTCTCTATGCATCTAGCCATTAACTGAAAATGTCTGCCAATTTAATGACCTTAGGAGTATAATGTTATAAAGCTCATAACATCTCACACTTTGTATCTCAGTTCAAATTGAAATTGATACTGCGTTAGACAAAAATGTTTACAAATAAATCTTAGTGAGTATTTTCCGTCACTGTGCTGCGTACATTCCTCATTACAAATTATTATGACTTGAGGTCTTCTTGCTGCAGCAAACATGTCCGTGACATGAAAGTGATTTTTTTGTGGTTTCTTGCGAACATGTTGCGCACTATTAAACCAGTTTTCCCATTTTGTCGCTATGCTGTGCGCATTTCTCTTTGATATTACCAGTGCGCAGCAAGTAAAAACACACACAATATACTATCGTTAGTATGTGGCGCATTTACTGTGCATATGCCGCGCACAGTAAATGTCCATAAAGATCACTCAGTCATTAGCACATGATGCCAAACGGCGTCAGATTAAACCTCATGGGTTATAAAACTAAAATTTCAGACACTCCGCACACCGTCGACAAAATGGAATGAACTATGATATAATAACCTGCTACAGACTCACCAGCTTGTCATTAAATGAAGCCCCATCATCGGAACAGATGGTTGCAATACACTCGTGAAGAAAAAATGTGTTGATTGACCTGCCTTAAACATGTCAGGAAGTTCATCAAAATCTTGATTTTATGAAATATATTTCTTTTACGGACCGATAGCGTAAATTAAGTCAGTCACGCCACGCCCAGTACTGTTGAAAACAACAAGCTTTCATGAAAAAGGTTACTAGCCCTGGGCATCGAAAGTGTAACCAGATATGATACACTCTAGCTCATTTACACTATACATGCTTATGGAATATAATATGTAATATAAATATTTGTATTCATTGTCGTATATACAGCTTTTATGTATAAAATATATTTTGATGAGAATGGCAGTATACGGTGTGGGAAAGAGAATGATATGACCAGCCAAGCCCGGGTGCTGTCAGTAAATTCAAGTATATGTATCCATAGATACAAAAGTGCATGCACGTTGTTCCAGTCTCAGTATGTAATGTGAGTATTTCTGACAGACTGATGACCTAAAAGGTCAGACTAAGCCTAACCTTTGCTTTATGTATACGTCGTGTACAATACTTAAAATAATTTATTTTAGCTGGAATTAATTGTCGCTGAAAAGACTTTTGGGGTGTTTTGTATTTATTTTCACTGATTTTTTCCAAGTTGAATGTAAAATGATTTTATTTTCACTGAATCATTCCTTCAGCGAAAATAGCGAAAATCAATTCCAAGCAAAAATAAAATATTTTATAGTACAACATGACAGTGTGCATGTATATGAAAAGCTGCTCCTGGAAACAGCAATTCACCTTCCAATGACCACATACCAGTTTTTCCATGAAATAAAATATAGGAACTGCATGCACAATCTAGGCAAGTTCGGGTAACTGGAAACATGCTATAATTTTATTTGTGTGAAAAAGATCACACGGTATCGAATAAAAAAAACAAAAAAAAAAACAAAAAACAACAGAAATGTGTTTTCCTTCATAACTTCCAGAACAGTGTATAAAATTTATTTTCACTGATTTTTGATGAGTTGAATGTAGAATATAGGAAAAAATGTATATTCACTGGATTTGATTTTCACTGAATCATTCCTTAAGCGAAAATTAATTCCAAGTGAAATTAAGTATTCTACAGTATTCGATTTAAAATTACGCCCTCTATAGTTAGTTTCATGTTTAACACTATCTGGAGAGATATGCTTTATTAAACAGTCATGATGCATGATCTCCGTCGTGTGCAATATTTTGTTTAAATTACGCCCTCTACAGTAAGTTTCATGTCTAACCAATTATTGGGAAAGGTATGCTTTAATAAACGGGCACGTGGTGCATGATCTCCATTGTGTGCGATATTATTTAAGTTACGCCCTCTATGGTTAGTTTCATGTATAAATAAAGTTTCCCGCGGTTCGCCATTATCCTCAGGGGCGGACATCCGGGCATTTTCTACCGCCTGGCAACCCTCGCGGTGAAAACAAAGACCAAAAACTCGCAAAAAACGGTATTTTGCGATGATTGTTGAGAGTCCCTTGAACAGTGTAACAAGATTAGCCCTACGTGTGTAACATATATGAATTTGGTTGTTCAGGATTACTTCAAAGTTGAGTTTGTGTTGTTTTCTCTAGTTTTCACCGGCTCCACGGCGTTCCACAGCAGCGCGCACAAAGCCCCATAGAAATACGTGGTACAGTGGTGCGCGTCTTAGCAACGTAGAACGTCCGTGACGTAGCTCCGCCCCCGAGGATAGCGGGAAACTACTGTCTTCACATGATGATAACAGCCAATCGTTGGCTTTATGTTAATCACGTGATTTGTACGTATAAACGCAGAAGTCTGCAGTGGGCAATTATTCTATGCTGGACTAGCCACATTTCAGTCGTGCATAAACATAATTTTTATATTTATTAAGTCTAATTAAGCATATTGGATGAAACCCGACATCCACTCTCTGGCACACATGACAAGGCTACGTGTACAGGTTTCCAGCTGTATTTTTCCTCAAAAAGGGTTTTTTATCTCTGCTTTTTTTCTGGGCGGCTGTGTGCCAAGCGAACGGGGACTAATTAGGTGATTAATAAGCATAAATATTTACCAAAAACTAATTGGGTCTCTGCATAGTTCTAGATTCATTGAAATGTGATGAGTACTCTTTAAAAGTTTCATTAAAATCCAATTGGTGGTTCTTTATATATCAGTGAAACATTATGGAAAAATTATGCAAATTAGGTAATAAATATCCACAATTATTCACCCTAAAACTAATCAGGTCTCTGCATAGTCCTAGAAGATCTATATAGCAAGTCTCATTGAAATATGATTAGTACTTGAGATACCAGGCAAAAAGCTGAAAATTAACTAATTATGCTAATAAGGTAATTAATATGCACAAATATTTACCCCAAAACTTATCAGGGGTCTGCACAGTCCTTAAGTAACTATGTACCAAGTTTCATCGAAATGTGATGATTACTACTTGAAATATCGAAAGCTGAAAATTAATTAATTATGCAAATTAGGTAATTAATATTTACTGATATTACCCTACAAACTATCAGGCTTGTGCAGTGTCCTATGATATCTATGTACCAAGCTTTTTTGAAATGTGATGATTAGTACTTCAGATATTAGTGGAAAAGCCAAAAATTTATTAATCATTATGCAAATTAGGTAATTAATATTGCACAGATTTTTACCGAAAACTAATCAAATCTATGCATTAGTTTGGAGCATCTATGTGCCAAGTTTCATCAAAATCAGTGGAACAGTCATGGAACAGCTAAAAATTAGCTAATTGTCATGCAAATTAGGTAATTAATATGCATGGATTTTTACCAAAACCTAATCAAATCTGCACATTGGCCCAGAGCATCTGTGCACCAAGTTTCATCAAAAATCAATGTATGGTTCTTGAGAGATCAGTGGAACAGACGGACACAAATACACACACACACACACATACAGACACACTAACTGCAAAGACTCCCATTGTGTGCTTCGCACATGGGAGTCAAAAACAAGTTCGAAGTACAAAGTCATGTAAGATAAAAAAAAACGAACACATTCGATGTGGAGAGGACGCTGACCTGCAGCATCAATGCTTTTACCTATTTGCTGACATAGCTCCACTACTTGAGATCTAGAAAATGAAAGCAATCAGAGCAATAATGTTTACAATAAATATACAATATTACTGAATTGATGTAATGTTTATTCATAAACACTAGAGGCTACTGGGTGTGTGTACAATACATGTACATCACTGAAGTTTTGAGGTCAACAGTACATGACAAATAAAAATTGTTGCCAGAAAAATTTCTCAGACTTACACCTTCACCATTTTTTCTTCTTCAGGAAACAGCCTCAAAGTCTAGTTCAGTGAATTTGGAAGCTAAACACGTCTCCAATAATTGTTAACGATCATAAACTAATGAAGATGTCATTTTCTACTGTAATTGAAACAGCGCCCTCTGCATCTTTAGTGAAAGAATGATAATTGTCCTAATAAAAGTCTGACTAAGAGGGGGAAATTTTTTTTTGAGGTTTTCATTCACAGAAGGCAATTTGACATCTCTTTTATAAAGGGTAAACGTAAAGAATATAGATTATTTTTGCTGACTTCATAGGTATCTTTTGTATGCATGATGCGATGTTACTATGGGAAAGATTTGAATTTGCTGCCATTTTGGCAAATACACCACTCGTGTCTGACCCATAGAAAACACACTGACTGCAAGACCTAATGTTTTAGACCTCAGTATACATGCAATAGAAATGTAGAAAATTTCTTGTCTGATATTAAAAAAGAATAAAAACAGAAGTTTAAAAGATACACAATAAACAATCACATTAACAAACGGCTTTTACATCTTCAAGGACAGCAGAGCTACAAATTTAAGGGAAAAAATGAGATTGCTAAGGGCTTGATTATGGTTGCTAGGGACATACTTACATAACACCCCATCAATGTTATAAATATCCATAATATATAATATGTATAATTTAAGGCCCATTTCATCTTCTTAAATTTATTCATCTACTTGCTTTGGAAATGACAAATCTATTACCAAATTCATAAAAAAATTAATATATACTCCCTTGACCCTGTTTCAGACTGCACAATGTTGGGTAAAAAGAATGTATATTTGGGTGCATGGCATTCACATGTAGTTTTATATCTACATCAGACACAAAAACAAGCAGCCTCTCGGCTGAGATAGCTCCGCTGTTATCAATGCATATTTCAATTAAAGAACAGAAGATATCATTAGAAAATGAACAATATGCATAGTATCAATGCAATGGGACTTGCTGTTTTCAACAAGAATTCAAAAATATAATTTTTAACCATAAATGATTGTGGTTTTTAACAAGAAGAAAATATCACTTTTTACCAAAAATGACAAAAATATTTATCAAAATTAGAGAATTGAAGATATCATCATGAAATAAAAAAATTTGAGAGTGGTCCATATGTAGTATCTATATACGTAATATCAAAGCAATTGGACATGTCGTTTTTAACAAGAAGTCGAAAATATCACTTTTAACCAAAAATGACAAAAATATTTACCAAAATTAGAGAATTAAAGATATCAT